ATATATATTTTTTTTAAATTGAAAGTTATTTATTTTTTTTTATAGACAGGTGAAGAACCTTGAGCATTAGGATTAGCTAATTTTTTGAATTTAAAATTAAATTTAAATGGTTTGGCTATGCCAAAATGGTATTGTAATGAACCAATAGTGTTAGTAACGAATTGGTTACAAGATTTTCAACTTAGTGCTCAACATCATCGTAATGCGATGAAAGTAATTTCTTTTTTATTGAATTAAAACCATTTGTTTGTAATATTATTTTCTAGATTTTATGTCTTAAACGTCCACATTTTTATTCTCCAATATTTATTGACTTACCAACAAAATATGATGACATATTTCATATGCATAATGAATATCGTTGTGAACATTGTAAAAAAGTTTCATCTAATACATTATTATGTCTTATTTGTGGTGAATTACACATAAAACGTTGGTTTCCACCATGTTGTGTTTATCAACGACAAAGATATATTCAAGTAGATATTTAATAAATATTTCATTCAATTAATATTTATTTTATTATTTAAGCATCTTGCAAAATGTGGTCATCCGGCTGCTATTATGCTTGATATTCAAACAACATTAATTGCTATTTGTTTAACTGATACATATGGTTATTGGCATTCACTTTATCTTGATCAACATGGCGAAGAAGATCCTAAACTTAAGTAAATTTTAATATATAGAAAAATGAAAATTCTATCTATTTGTTTTTCGTATTTGTTTATTTAGACGAGGTAAAACATTATTATTGAATTTAAATCGTCTTGCTGTTCTTCGTACATTATGGTTAACAGCAACATTTGATTATCAAATTCAAAATTGGTTATCATACACGTCGTTGATGATTAGTCATTTTGATGTATTACTGTGATCTCACTGAGTATGTCCGTGTGGGTGTGTGAATGTGTATGAACTAATATTGAAGTCTTTCGACCAATTGTCTATCCATATCTTTTTTGTTTATTATTCTTATATATTATGACCGGAAAATTTTCTTTTTTTTTTTGTGTATGTTTATCAAAAAAAAAACAATTAAAACAAAATTGACTTAAACAAGCTAAAGACAAAAAATAAATACGAGTTTAAAAAAAAAAAAAAGAAATCAACTTTCGTTTACTCTAGATTTAAT